CCAAACCAGATTCCCGACGCATGAGTCATAAGTTTCCGGCAAATTAATAAATTGCGCGGCAACATTTTGATGGTGTCCAAAAACGAGACCACAATACTGAGTGACAAAAATTGGATTTTAAAATTTATTTTACACTAGCTACTTCCGCGCGGTTTCACACGCTCAGTTCCTATTAGTCGTAGCGTGGTGTTTTATAACCTATAGCCATCCTCGATAAATACGCTATCCAACACAAAAATAATTATTCAAATCGGACTTATAGTTACGGAGATTAGCGCGTTCAAACAAACAAACAAAAAAACAAACTCTTCCGCTTTATATAATAATATAAGATTGTATTCCATTGCTGTGCTGTGTATGAGAATCGTAGTCGTAAATTTTTGGAGTGCGGCGCGATCAACGCGAACTAAAGTCATTTTTGTACCTACATTATATAACACCACGCCTTTTATCCCCAAAGGGGTAGGCAGAGGTATACGTTACGGCACTTAATGCCACTGTACAACGTAACACCCACTTTTCACTATTTATGTTATGAGTTCCATACTCCCATGTAATAGGGGGTGAGCCTATGGCCATATACCTACCGGGCACAATTCCAGACTCCGTACTACTACTATAATTTTTTTAAAATCAGTAATTCTTTGCCCGACACGGTTATCGAACCCGAGACCCCTTGCCCAGCAGTCGCACTTGCAATCCAGTACACAGGATATATTATAGTGCCAAATGCGTACGCAAACACGGGTGCACTCTCTGCTTCGTCACTCAAAATCCGGTGGGACGGTAGTGCGACACAACCAGAGTAAGAGTAGTTCTTGCTAGGTAAAGCTTTCCAGTTAATCTGTAAACATATGATGACCCTTTCCGCATTTCCAGACTCCTGTGCATCGAGGATGTAAGCCGTAGGGACACATCGTAAAAAGGAGGACGCCATTAAGTCTGGCGTAAACGTAACGTCTCTAATGGCTTATTCGCAGCAAATAATAGTCACTCCATGTAATAAACATTAAAGATGTGATAAAATATTATAGTCATTTTTTCTTAATTAGATCTAGGTATTATTAAGTATTTCGAATTGTACACACCCAAAACCACTTTATCTGACGAATAGGTCTTTCGTTAGCTCGAGGTATACAATACAGATAATGCACAATGCACATTAAATTAATTATGCTTTATTGCTATCTAACGCAATTGTTTCGCGACACGATGTAACCCGATTAGTTTAGGGGTTTTTTCATGTGCTCAGGGTGACCTGACCGTGTCCATGTCGTTTGTCGCGCAAAAGCAGTAGTTAACTGCTGCGTATTGACGTCTCGCATACGACGATTGCACGACGGCTCTCAGCCAGCTGTAAGTGGCTTTTTTTTTTAAGGGGGGAAAATCATCGAATGACTGCTCCCGCTTGGGTGAGGCGGAAGGGAGTGTCGAGACTCTTACTGACTAAAAACCACCCCGTTCCTTCTCCTGCACTTCGAGCCGGAGCCCCGGTTATGGCTTGCAACTAGTCGACTTACCACGTCATCAAACAATTGCATGAGGACGAGTAAGCCGTAAACCTTTTTTACAAGATAAGGTTAAACATGCAGACGGATCACCGAATAGTAACATGGCGGCCCATGAAAACGCCAGGACAGTTACAAGTGCTTTGCTGGTGCCGGTCTCTAGGGAGATGCTAGTCCTTTTTTTATGGGATAAGCCAGTTGACGAGGTGACGGATCACCTGATGGTAAGCAATCGGCATCGCCCATGGACACCCAAAAACAAGTGCGTTACCGGAGATTAGGAATTTGAGGACTGTTGGGAATTCAGGGATTGAGGACATTCGGGAGGGGGGGACGTAATTGGGCCTCCGTAACCTCTCTCACACGGTGAAACAAAACGCAAGCGTGGTTTCACGCCAGTTTTCTAAGCCCATGGTATCCCTACACAGTCGACGACGAGCGGGTGCCCGTGCCGCAACATGGTTCTCTCACATCAATGATAACTTTACAAATATGACCCAGAAGAGTTATAATACTGCACTGTACATACTGTGCAGTGGTGGCTGGGCAACCGGCTGCCGTGTAAAGTGTCGCGGGTTCGATTCCCGCACGGACCGACACTTTGTGTGATCCACAAATTGTTGTTCCGGATCTGGGTGTCATGTGTATATGAACTTGTATGTTTGTAAACGCACCCACGACACAGGAGAAAATCCTAATGTGGGGTGCCAACGTTTTTAAAAAAAAATACAATACTCACATTGATACATCTGACAAAGTCGTCCATCTCACACGGTTTCTCTTTGAAGAAGTTATACACTTGGTGTGTGACGGACTGCCCAGCACAGTTGACGAGGTTGTCGAGCCGTCCAAACTTATCTTTTGCAATACCTAAAGCGTTCTTTACATCCGCTTCTGATGTTACCTGGAACAATAGAATTATAATATTTTACTATCGAAGGCGTTATTCCATACGATCTCCGAGTCTTACAGATAATGTAGTTGCGTTTTTCATTGAATTTTTGACCTTATAATTATCAAAACAATAAAGTTAAACATCTAATAAAGAAATTTGGCTTTAAGTGAGTACTTTATGTGCACTCTGCCTATACTACCTTTAACAAAAAAGGTGATGACATTAAAATAAAAAAAAAATACCTTCATCTTCACACCAATTTAATTCACAAACAATCATCCATTCAATCTTCAAAACTGGTCTTTGAAGCTATAAATGTCAGCCATAGGAAATATAAGTTTAAGAGAAAACATGTACCATAGACCAGAGTCTATGATTAGAGATACAGGAGCAAGTCTTTAATTGGATAATTATGTCTATGGCCATTACACCGTGGTGTTCTAATAATAGTAGGTTTTAAAGCTATAAATAACTTGGAACATCCCTACTTTAATGGTGGCATATTTAGCTTTGCTTATTTGTAAGAAGCATAATTTTACATCACACCTGTAACTGCCAAAAGGGTATAAGCAGAGGTGTTCAGTAAGATGACATTTATTTTTAGTGTTAAAAAGTAAAATTGCTAATTTTATTCAGTGAAGGTTACTCCACTTCCGATGCAGAGGTACCCTTACTAAATGAGATACTCATATTTTACTAATATATTTTTTTAAATCTTTATTTAGTAAAGAGTTTTATCCGAATGGATACGTCAATCAACCTCATTGTACCTTATACTCTATTTTCACGAAACTTACTACCTTATATAGTCGACCCCAGTACAGTACTTATACTTACCTACATAGATATTATTATGTAAATAAGTTAATTGAATCAATTTAATTATAAATAAATTAAGTATGAATAAATATATACAACTTAAAATACAAATAACTAAAATCTAAATATTTACACCTTAAATAAAATAATAAAAATGTTATCTTAAGCTTAAGGCGTCAAAAAAATTTATCTTCATCGCTACCTAATTAACTTATGCATTTACAGGAACCATTTCAGACTCCATGCTGCTGAGAATTTATGAAAAATGGGTTAGTTTGTCACACCTAACGAACCACTTGCAACCACTCAATACCAACCTCATTTATGGTAAAACTCATACTGAGCAACGGGTGCGATAATCATTCCATACAAAAATAAGCAACTATTATGTGCATGTGTGGGAGAGCCAAGCTAATGTGGGAAATCCATGCTTCGGCACGAATAGGCCGGCTCGACCGCAGTGATACCATGGCCTCATAGAAAACCGACGTGAAGCAACACTTGCAGTTATGTTTGCGTTGTGTGAGTGAGGTTATCGGGGCCCAATTATCCTCCCCTTCCCCAATCTCCCTAATTCCTGAATCCCAACGATCCTCTAACTCTTAATACCCAAAAGGCCAGTAACGCACTTATAACGCCTCTGGTGTGTCCGTGGGCGACGCCGATTGCTTACCATCAGGTGATCCATAAGCTCGTTTACCGGCTTATGCTATAAAAAAAATGATAATTTTCTAATAAGTTTATTACTCAATCAATATAGTTTGTTAAACGTAAAGAGACTAATTTAATAACATTACAATAACATTGACTATTGCAAAAGAAAAATGTTTTAAGCTTGGTACTCATGTATGGCATTGGAATCAAACCATATTTCAGCATTTTTTAATCATATTTCAGGGAATTATGCCCGGTATATGGCAATAGGCTCACCCCCTATTACATGGAACTCATAACATAAATAGTGAAAAGTGGGTGTTACATTGTACATCATACACCGAGCACATTTCCGCGATACCACTAAGATTTATTTAGAAAACCAGTAATACTTTGCCAAATCCGGGAATCGAACCCAAGACCTCTTTCGGCTAACGACTAGAGTTAATAAATTAATAGGAAACTTACACAGCCTTTAGCCACAACAACGTTTTCACCAAGTTCTTGAGCCACTTGCTGCGCTCTTGTGCCTTGTACATCGAGAATAACAACTTTGCCGCCATTTTTCACGAATCTTTCCACTGTAGCCTTTCCTAGACCTGAAGCTCCACCGGTTACCAGACTTACACCCTATGAAAAGAGGTTAAATTTAAGGTTATGTTTACAATAACAAAATCATGAATGAAACATGTTATTACGAAGTAATTTAGATTAACCTTTAGCATTTTTGTACTTTGGTTATAGCTGTGATGAACGTACAGTAATAATTATATTGATTTTATTAAATAATTCGAGTAAGAATCTTCATAGAACTTCAATTCACAATTTTACTAACTTCATTTGACATTGACACAACGAGATGTCATAATTTCTTTCAGAAATCGTATATTCCAATTTACGCGCTCATTTTAAAACTAATAAATATAAAGCTGAATCTAAGAGAGTTAATATTTTAAGTACTATTTTTAAAAAAATGCTTAATAGGTAACTATTATAATGTCTCAAATAATGTTTCCATCTCACTGGCAGGACAAAAAAAATATAAACGAAAACTACTACTCTTAAAAACCAACTAAAATAAAAAGCCCAATTTGCCATTTTCCAAAGTGTCGAACTGTCGATAGTACCTTCTAAAATTAGTCGTATTATTATAATGGCCGGCAGTGTTTGTTGTTTTTATTCGTCGGCAATATTTTAACATCATTTGCGCATAATTAAGTGCTTAACTGTAAATTGCGTCCTCAAATCGTGAGCAGCCATGGCGAAGGTTGAACAACCTATTTTCATCCTGCCGAAGAAACGAAATGGAAAGAAACAGAACACAATAGCCAGCCATGTAGACCACATAATTACTGTGCAGGTAAATTTCGTAATTTATGATAATTCTGTATTCCTTTAGTTTATAATTTGTATGAAGATGCATATTTGTGACGGTACAAAGATTTCTAGCTAACATTTAATGGAATCCTTCAATGAAATTATAATTTCTTTGTGGGGCGGCGGCGCGGCGTACGAAATTCTTATCTGATTTATTTAGATGTATGCTTATTCGTACAGATCTAATAACTTCCTTGAAGTTTAGTTCTAACTGCATTAAAATATGATATTGTCGTAACATACTTCTCTCATTAATTTGTTCTTAGAGAATTAATTGCATTGATAGTTAATTAATTCTCTAATTTAATCAATTCATTCCCAACCTTTATAGGAAATTAGTGAATTCATATCAATCTCCATAATTATTTCTTATAGGAAACAATGTAGGTCAAGTAATAAGTCTACTACCTATTTTTCCTTAGAATGCTCAATGCGCCTAACATAAAATTATGTAAATTAAAAATATTCATTTACTTCAATCTTTCTATTTCCAGGGAGTTGCAGAAGATGCCAAACTAAATACAAGAATGGTTTGTCACGCAGTCTCCGAACATGTCAATGGAATAATACACTCAACTATGGAAGGCCTCAAGTCCAACATGAAGATCAATCTCCCAATAATCAATGATGTCAATGATGAGGAGCTGAATGATTTCAATGGAGACTCTGAGTCTGAGAAACAAAACATTCAGAAAAACGGATACCAAGCTTTATCCACTCTTAACAGCAGCCGGGAGATAATAGATCTCTCCCCAATATATGAGAACTCTTCAGATGCTTGCTCCAGTCATGGCGATCTAAGGGATGCCAATGATAGTGACATCCAAAAGAGCTGCAAAGTACTCAACTCTGATCAGAATGAAAGCTCTTCTGCTACACCAAACAGCTTGTCTCAAACGCAGTCTGAAAACAGCTTTGAAATGGGCAATCTCACTGATAGCCTCAAGAACAGTGCTAAAAGGAAAAAACGAGTCAACATTGTCCCAGGAATCACAGAGGCTGATAATACTGACACTGAAATTACAGCCCTGCGCATTGAGTCTGAGGGTTCTTTATCCCCAGACTGCTCTCTGACAGACAATTCTAAGGATGGGTATCTGACCATGACAGGAACTATTAAGAGAGGCAAAAAGAAAGGGCAGAATGTTGACGTTAAACTCAACATATCCAGGGAGGAGCTTGAGATTATCGAAGCAGCAATTGTTGCTGAGGAGTTCAACAAGATGGACATATCCAAATGCTCCTTGTATAATGGTCCACACATATTTCTCTTCAGTCTACTTTGTATTCCATTTGTGGCATGCATTTCAGCCATGTACTCATTCTACATGGGCACAATGGCTTGGTACAATGTATTCTCCCATGTCACTGAGAATTTAAGCTGCATTAAGAAGGTATTGCTGGCCCCAATAGTGATTTTGTCATACCCATTCTTGATTGTAATTTTCACTGTGGGGCTGGGTCTGTATGCTGGTATAGTGCAGCTTACATTCAGTGCTGCCAATTGGTGGAAGGATGTTTGCGATTTTGAAAAGGGTTTCTATGGTTGGCTCTGCAATACTTTGGGTATGTCAGAATGCAGTCCGTATGAAGTTGTGGTCCTGATGAATGTTAAACCTTAAATAATCTTATACATTTAATCTTGCCAACAACACTGCCATTAATAGATGTCCATTATACATTTTTTCTTCAAACTTTTAATGTAATTCAATAACGAATGTGGAAGGGTATTTTAATGCTGGATGGAGGAAGAAATCTCACAATAATATTCATGTTTTATGAGCCTAATACATAAGTAATAAGTTATATGTACCCTTTCATCGAAATGTTATTGTCTTAGAAAAATTAAGCATAAGGTGTTAGTTGTAAGATTTTCAATATCCATATTTGGAGGAGTTTTAGGAAAAAGATCGATTTTTGAAAAGTGATATTTATACATGGGATGGGAACAAGATGGTATACCTTTTAGATCTCTTTTGAAAATAATTATGAAAGTGTGTATCTGTAGAATTTTGCTCAATTTCTTCCATTGTGTCATTCCATACTCCATGTTCTGTACTAAGCAATTATTTCTAGTCATTTTAACCTTTTTGGTTGCATACCTACTTGTTGTTGTAAGGAATTGTAATCATAGATGTATTTAGGATAAGGTTTTTACATATCTGCTAAGAATTATGGAAGTAGTTGAAAAAATCATGAGCTCCCAAAGATCTCAAATGATGTAATACCATGCAAGACTTTGGTCCAAATCAATAACATTATTTGGTCTGTCTTTTAATAATATTTATGACTGAAATTGTAATAAATGTTGCCAAGCACAAATTCAATAATGTATAAGCTTTCAAGCACAATAGATAACTTGTAATAGCACCTATAGAAAACTTTTTAAAATATTCTTATTGCTAAAATCAGGATACTAGTAAAAATCAGTGTTTTGCATAACAAATATTTATTGATTTCTAATTTCTAGTTATTTTAGGACAATGCATCAGCATTTAGGTTTTATATTGTGACATTGTTTTATGGAATTTTATTTTTACAATTTTTTTGTCATTTTTTATCATGCGTAAATAACAATGTATGTTATGAAGACTGATGTATTCTAGTCACTATTGTGGTATCCGTTTTCTACGCAATAAATATTTTACAAAACTGAAGACTGTTTAACTAAAACAATATCTACAACATTAAAAATAACAGGTCTATTCCAAACAATTCAACTAAGTTTCATGATGTATCCTTCTGTTGGCTTGGTGCTTCCTTCTGTTCTTGTTTCGCCTGTTTAAATTCAGCATCTATCCTTTCTTTAGCTCTTACAATTTTTGATTGCAAATAAAAAGACCCACCTTTTGCTTTCTCATTGGCTTGAAATAGGTGCTCATAATTTTTTACAATTTTTTCCTTGTCCAATTTGTCTATATTTAGTATCTGCATTGCTTCTTCTAATGTGAGACCAGTGGAAGCATTTGCAGCAGCTCTCCTGGTGCCTTCAGCTCCACCACCAGCTCGTTTGGCAGCCTCTTGAGAGGCAGCTATTTCTTGCTTGAGTGCTCTCGCAAAAGCTCTTCCCACTACCTGGGCACCCAGAACTATAATTTGCGCAATATATTTAGCCATGTTTTCTCTCCTATTGATGAAATAACTATTGACATTACTAGCAAAATAAGTGTCAGGTCTTCCTGTCTCTACTGGTCATTGGTCATGTCAATGTTAAACTATTTTAAGGTTATTTTGCGTTCTATGTAGCAATATTACACAATTTTCAGCATGAAACTTTACAAGTATTTATTAATTTTAAAAAGTAGTAACGTATAGGAAGTTACTAAACAATTAAATTTGTTTTGCGTTTATAGTTTTCTAGTAAAAAATAGTAACATAAAGTAATAAAAGATAATTATCTCTCCAAGAAATTGAACGCAGCAGTTATTTTACTTTTTTATCAGACCGTCAGGCATAGCCATTCCTTTTCAAAGGCCACTCTGCGTGCGTAAAGTTCAAACTCGGTTAAAAAATGTTGACACTGACAGTTTCAAATTGACATTAACCAGTTCGCGCGTTTTTTTGACATTCGCAAAGTTAACCTGTTTGTTTTTTGTAACGACACTGTTTTCTCGTTATATTGTGTAAAAAGCTTTATTTAGTGTTTAGTTTCCTCAAATTGATAGTTTATTAAGTGTAATAATAATGGTAAGTCCTTTTTAACATGTTAATTACAGCAATAACTGTGTAGTTTCTAATAAAACTGTTTACCTTCTTTGTACGATTCGGCGTCATTCTATGATGCTTCAGCGGTTTACTAAACTTTTAATTTGCTGTCCATAATATTAAGATTCTCACACGTTTTCCTGGTAAACATGAAGGAATAACTACTATCATTATATTGACATTGTACAACAAAATCTTGTGAAGCTTAACCTTACCTCTTGTCTTCAATAATTTTCGTTATACTTGGCTAGCACTATTTATAAATACGCTTTCAAATTATTTAACCACTACAACATATCGTTTAAATATAGAAGGATACTATAGAGCAGCTGCATTTTCAATAGATATCGTCTTAACTGCTATGTATACTGTTTTAGAGTTCTCCAGCCCCAGACACACCGTCAGAGCGAGATGGAGCGCGGTCTAGGATGACGTCACCAGCGCGAGACTATGAAATGTTTGAAGATGAGAGTGCTATCCTCGGAGACAACCCTGAGGAGGAGGAAGATGATGGAGAAGAACTCTTCAATGATAATATGGAGGCGTAAGTTGTTGAGGAAAATCTACAATAATGAATAATCCATAAAAACAAAAAAAAGTGTAATATTTTAATAATTTTAAAATAGGTTTGTAAAACAAACCTATTTTAATAATTTTAAAATAGGTTTGTAAAACAAACCTATTTTAAAATTATTAAAATAAGTCCACAATCATTTATATTTTTGATTTAGAAGAAGCAGCACGAGGCAGTAGCAGAAATGACTTTTTACTGAAATCTCATAAGACTACAATAATTACATATTTTATTAATATGCTTATTTTGATGGCTGTATAATGGTATTTTAATAGTACAAAAAATATTCTTATAGAATATCAAACAGAACTTCACCAATAATGACACTAGGTAATCATCTTATTCTAATTCCAGTGACTATCGTCCAATGCCAGCGTTAGATCGATATGATGCAGAGGACTTGGATGAAGATGACTATGACCCCATGTCAATACAAGACCGAGTGGCTGCTGAGCAGGAGTTGAGACGGAGGGACAGAGAAGAGGGCCGCAATAGAAGAGATGATCGCGATCTGTTGTACGGTAAGGATTAACAATAAGATTTATTTATTTTTATTGTATACAGAAAAAGTAGTACAATGAGTGGTCTTATCACATGCGGCAATTTCTCCCAGATAACCTTTGGATGGAATTTTTGGTAATGAATCTGGCAATAGATTATATATGTATTTGTAATGTTGTTTGAGTTTTGATAGACTGGCAAGTATAATTGGGACTTCAGACTGACTTTCAGACTACTTAATTGGAAACAGCAAACAGAATTGTATACTACAGTTGTACTCATCATTGTTCTACTAGGATTACTAACATAAGCTGCACAGTGCACATACCATGCAGGCAGCTTTTGAATATAACAAAAATCTATGAAACTGAATTTTGATGTACAGATGAATCAGATGAAGAAAGCACGGGTGCTCCGCGGGCGAAGCGCCGCCGTGCTGCAGAGAAAGCTGCCATGGGTACTGATGAACAAGTGGAGGAGGGAATCGAAAGTATTGAAAACTTGGAAGACACTAAAGGGTATACCACCAAGGAGTGGGTCTCTATGCTAGGACCCAGGACTGAGATTGCTAACAGGTAGAGTATAGATAATATTTTAATGCATATGCCCAAAATTGAATTGTGTTAAGAGACATAGTTCAATGAAGAAGAACTTGTCATTAATTTGTGCTTTTGAAATACTTCTAAAAGTTAAGATTTATGTTACTTGTACCATAAAATTTATCCCATTCAGATATATTTGTGCGGGTCCACAAGTGATCAACAAGTATACAATGAGAGATATTTGAAACTATCTCTCCTTGTGTACAGTGATTCCTAAAAACAAAAGATGAAAGAGATAATCTACTATAATATCACTAGTCTTTTTATAATGACTATCGTGAGACATTAAATTAACTAAAAATCGCGGGTTACTCACGTAAGTTTCTAGCTAGCTTCACGGTAGGCTCTACTACATGTCTACTAGCCTACTTACTACTTAGTAAGGTGCACGACATCGCCGTGACCCCGCACGCTGCTCATGAGGAAGAACCGCTCTGTGGTTCGAAACTAGTAGAGATTTTCTCAGTACTTTCAGTGTGTAACCCGCGATTTTTAGTTAACAAATACTTTTTCCGAATTAACCAATTAGCCCTTAAGAAACTAAAGATAACTGTTTTTGCGACACACATTGTAGTTTATATTATGTATCATATACCAGCATATGATATTTAAATTAAGTATTTGTTCTAAAACCATCACTAAATTCTAACAGGTTCAAGAACTTCCTCCGCACATACACAAACAGTAAGGGCCAGTTTGTGTACAAGGAGCGCATCCGTCGCATGTGCGAGCACAACCAGGCGTCCTTCCATGTGGAGTTTGATGTACTGGCTCGGAGAGAACAGGTCCTGGCGTACTTCTTGCCTGAAGCTCCTTTCCAGATGTTGCAGATTTTTGATGAGGTGAGTAAAAATATTAATAAGAAATAACTAGATGTTGAAACGATAGAAGAAAGTAAAGTAATGCTCATCTTTTAGGGGCAATCTTACACAGTGTCATCCAATTCCTAGGGTTTTTTTTTTTTAAAAACTTTGCCCCACACTGAGATTTTCTCCTGTGTCGTGGGTGCGTTTACAAACATACAAGTTCACATACACAATGACACCCAGACCCGAAACAACAATTTGTGGATGTACGCACGGAACACACAAAGTGTTGTTCCGTGCGGGAATCGAACCCGCGACACGTTGCACCGCAGCCGGTTGCCCAGCCACCGCACCAACCGTGCAGGTTTACATGTAATTAAGATGAAAGTGTTAATGAGTTTTTTCTATAAACAAGCTGCAAGATTGCCTTCTGTGTGTATAGTCTCAGTATTCTAGTTTCGGGACGCTTAAATAATTATTTATTTTCGCATAAAATTGTCAGTAATATTTATTTATTTAAGTTTTATACAATTGCATAAGGAAGACTTAATGCTAACAGCATTCTCTGCCACTCATCCTTTGGGTAGTGCAGAAATGTATGTATGTTAAATCATGGATGCCGGATTTTTTTCGACCTCTATTGCATATGAGACTGATACCATAACACAAAAAGCAGAAGGCGGAATAAAACATACTTAATATTCCTTTTAGAGAAATAAAACACATCCATTATCTGTTACAGGTAGCAAAAGACATAGTCCTACAAATATTCCCAAGCTACGAGCGAGTCACCTCAGAGATCCACGTACGCATATCAGACCTCCCACTCATAGAAGAGCTAAGAACATTCCGGAAACTTCATTTGAACCAACTTGTGAGAACAGTGGGAGTAATCACAGCCACTACTGGAGTCCTACCTCAGTTGTCCGTAGTCAAATATGATTGTAATAGGTGTGGGTATATTCTGGGCCCATTTGTTCAGACTCAGAATTCCGAAGTCAGACCCGGATCTTGTCCGGAATGTCAGAGCGCTGGACCTTTTATGGTGAGTGTTTAATCTTATTTTTTTTATACAGCATATGATGCTGACTGCTTTGTTACTTGAGGAATTGCCATATGAATTCTATTGAATTTCTGTCAAAAAATTTATAGTTCCAGACGTTATGGATTAAATTATTTGAAATAACGGCTTATATTTATAAAGTATTTAAGAAAATTTTTACTGGTTTCTTATGAAGTCACAATGGGACTCTAATGAAGCAGCATGCGTGCAGCATTATTCTTAATTAAATTAATTCAATTTCGGCTGTTGAAGAACAATAGCATAAATGAAATTTATTTCTAAACTCGCTATACCACCTTCCACAATTCTGTTCTCCACAGGTAAACATGGAACAAACCGTATACCGTAACTACCAGAAGGTCACAATCCAAGAGTCTCCCGGCCGCATCCCCGCCGGTCGTATCCCAAGAAGCAAGGACTGTATACTGTTGGCTGATCTCTGTGATAGGTGCAAGCCGGGAGATGAAGTCGACCTCACTGGGATCTATACTAATAATTATGATGGGTCGCTTAATACTGAACAGGTGAGATTTGTTTATTCTACTTAGTTAATGTAACTGTTGAATGTGTTCTTTGGCTTAAATCTGAAGGTTTCGGGTCGGGGATTAAAGAACCTCGCAGAAAGCCGTCGTGAAGCAACGCTTGCATTGTGTTTCGTCGTGTGAGAGAGGTTACCGGAGGCCCAATTACCGTCCCCTTCCCCAATCTACCCAATTCCTGAATCCCCAACGATCATCAAACTCCTAATCCGCAAAAGGCTGGTAACGCATTTGTAACGCCTCTGGTGTTCTAGGTGTCCATGGGCGACGCCGGTGCTTACCATCAGGTGATCCGTATGCTCGTTTACCGGCTTATGCCATGAAAAAAAAACGTGATACTATTACTTGTAAATTAGTTGTCACAAACAATACTAAGAAAAATAGCGAGTGTGAATACAGATTTTTCGATTGACGGAATGTTCAATAATCACACAGACTACAGAGCCTGAAATAGTACTCGTGGGCAAATACAGTGGCCCCAATAAGAACAAAACTAAAAAAAAAAACATATCCTTTGAAATCGACTACTATTGACCTCGGTATCCTGGGCAAAAATACTCAGATGCCAGTAAAACAGTAAAATACTCAATGACACATTCTTTCCAGGGTTTCCCAGTATTCGCAACAGTAATAATAGCGAACTACATAGTAGTAAAAGACTGCAAGCATATCGTGGAGTCCTTAACTGATGAAGACGTGGCCACTATTGTCAAGTTGTCCAAGGATCCACGCATTGGAGAGAGGATAGTACAAAGCATTGCTCCTTCTATATTCGGACACGATTATATTAAACGAGGACTTGCTTTAGCACTGTTTGGTGGGGAGCCGAAGAATCCAGGTATGTAATAATATTCATATTGTTACCTAGATGTGTATGTGATTTCGGTTTAATGAAACTGCCTTATTGGTCGTGTAAATCGATCAATTTCATTGAGGTTCAATATGCTAAAGTAACATTAATTGTTGTATTGTAAAAATACGCAATACTTTAATAATTAATTTGTCGGATTTCAGGTGACAAGCATAAAGTGAGAGGTGACATCAATGTTCTTATATGTGGTGACCCCGGTACTGCTAAATCACAATTCTTAAAGTACACCGAAAAGGTAAGTTCTTTTACTTCCGTACTGAAGTAATATCATCCTTAAGCTTTTCGTCAAGCTTATAAGGTCGCTTATATCATGTGAACTTATGCCTTCAGATCGCGCCCAGAGCAATCTTCACAACAGGTCAGGGTGCCAGTGCAGTCGGTCTAACCGCTTATGTCAGGAAAAATCCCACTACCAGGTAAGTTCTTTTTACATTCCTATTCCTCTTACATAAAAGTTAAAAAATCTATTGAAATTCTTATGAACACAAAAATAATATAAGTAAGGCTCAGAAAAATGATTCTTCGCCTAATCCTAGACCATGTCTTTGGCAATTTTCAATAGTTTTTGTGTTATCACATATCATTTATGAACATGTTTTTTTTTTCCTAACAGAGATTGGACCTTAGAAGCCGGTGCGTTAGTACTAGCAGATCGTGGAGTGTGCCTTATCGATGAATTCGATAAAATGAACGACGCAGACCGCACCTCTATACACGAGGCTATGGAACAACAGTCTATTTCCATCTCCAAAGCCGGTATCGTGACGTCACTACACGCTAGGTAAGTTGAAAATGTGGAAAAAAAAGTTGCGCAACTTTTGCGCTTCCATGCGCAAGTATGCAGTGACGTTTTCTAGTTTGCGCAAGTACCAACTTAGTAGCATTTATTATTAGGAGCCCATTTCTACTATTGGATATGAGCCAATACAATTGGTTATTGATATAGCTAGATTTATAAAAAACTAAATATCAGTTTTGGCCCCACTGAGAATTTCAATTCAAAACCCTTTCGATGGTACATCATTCAAGTTTTTATAATAACTATCGCGAGACATACTAAATCAACTAAAAATCGCGAGTTACTGAGCTTGCGCGGTCGCAGCGGTAGTAGGCTGCGCGACATCGCCTCGCCACATGAGGAAGAACCCCTCTGTGGTTCGAAACTAGTAGAGCTTTTCTCGGTATATTCACGTGAGTAACCCGCGATTTTTAGTTGATCATTCAAGTTATTGAATTAAGACTTATTAGGTACTTATTGTAGTCTAATTTCTAGAAACTTTCTTGAATTCCTTCAAAAGTAATAATATCCTTTTCGTCCACAGATGTTCAATAATAGCGGCCTCCAATCCTATAGGCGGTCGTTACGATGCATCGCTAACGTTCTCTGAGAACGTGAACCTGTCTGAGCCAATCCTGTCACGTTTCGACGTGCTTTGTGTTGTAAGGGACGAGGCAGACCCTATGCAAGATGCTCATCTCGCGAAGTAAGTTTTATTAGTTAGGACTAATAACACCACCCACGCCACCACGACATTAGCTCTAAAGTATATAGGTATACTTTAGAGCTAATGTCGTGGTGGCCCGGAAGTAAAGACGCCCGCTTCTCATGCATAAGGATGCGAGTTCGAAAACTACTAACGGCAAGTGCTAATGTGACTTTCCGAGTTATATGTACTTTCTAAGATTATGTAGACACCACTGACAAATGGTGAAGGAAAACTCCGCAACTCCGAAAAAAAAATCCGCAACTGCAGTAAAGTTACAAATAATTATGCGTTGTGGGGTCTCCAGTAACCTCACTCATAGAGTCAAAGAATGCTTAGCACTGTATTATTTTAGTGAAACTGTTCTGGGTAAAACGATTGTCAGATTTACTCTATAACTATTTAAGATTAAAAATCTTATTGATTATTGGTATTCAAAGTGGAGTGTCATATTCCATTTATATATACACAAAAATATGTTCCTTTCATATATTTTTAAACTCCCACAATAATAGGCTATTACATGCATTTTTCAAATGTACCTCTAAAAATTAAATAATTATTTTATCATAATTTTAAATTTCGCGCGTATTTCGCGAAAACGCGGCAAACAGCGGACGCCATGATTATTTTGTAGTCATGACGTCATTATGTCAGTATTCATTCAGTAAACTACAACTGACAGTAATACACACTTATAGTCAGAATTTTAATTAGATTCCAGATTTGACAATAGCTACTGTCATTTTGTGAAATAATGATACCACATATAATAGTGTAGTGATGCACACAAAAATCGATAAACAATCAGTGTGTGTGTTTTATAATAAATGTTACAGAAAGTGACAGGATAGCGATAGCGATGACGCCGACAATTTATAAAATTACTTATTACCATAATACATCTATCTGTTTTATTTGTCATGTTCCTTTATGATTACATTTTTTTATTTATTTCACACACAATTATAAAAGAAAAGTCTCAGATCGTTAATTAATCGTCAAAACTAAATTATCGGTTCAGAAATATTTAATTTCCTGATATACTTAGTTTACAAGAGTAAAATTATAAACGCGAAGAATCGATCCAGAAATATTGCATTTCCATATCGAATAATTTCGCAACGTCACTATTTAGTACTTGTCATAACGTTGCAATACTGAAATTGTCAAATCTGGAATCGAATTAAAATTCCGAGTATAGTACATATTTGACAGCTGAAATGTTTGTTTACTACCGTAATTACGTCATTAGGATGGCGGCAACATTTCGTACATAACATTAAAAAAAATTTTAAAAATACATACTTTAAAAACATTAAAAGTACCTTATAAATTGAAACTAACATTTCCCGATTGCTTTGCCTCTAAACAAACATTGTAATATACTTTTAATTTTTTTCTCATCTAGACTAACATACCGTATTATGTATAATTGTAAATAGCTTCTAACTCCGTTGATAATTCTAGATTCGTCGTATCGTCTCACATCCGCCACCACCCGACCCAGCGCGGCGCCACTCTAGAGGACAGTAACGCGCCAGACCCTGATTTTGTACTGCAACAGGATCTACTCAAGAAGTATATTGTCTATGCCAGGGAGAATGTTCATCCTAAGCTACAGGTAATATTCAAACTTATCATGGATATAACTTTGCTTATACATATGCACTCCTGCCTATCCATTTGGGGCTTAAAGAGCATTTTGTTATGTTTAAAGAAATCGAAATTTATGTATGTAACATCATCAATTAAAAATGCTGAATTTAATTTAGTATACATTTGTCAGCACATTCAGAAATGTAAAAATAATAAACTAACATAATTTTGTTTATTAGAACATGGACCAGGACAAAGTAGCGAAAATGTACAGTCAGCTCCGACAGGAGTCTCTGGCTACAGGCAGCTTGCCGATCACAGTCCGTCATATTGAATCTGGTAAGTAATTTTCTTATAACTCTACCTATTCTTTCAGGATTTCATGCATGTGTTATGATAAAACTAATATATGTTTAATTACTACTATAAAAATAAGCTGTTGTCATATTGCCAATGTGTTAGATGGGTAAGAAAAATAACACGAGACATCAAGCGACGAGAACGACTGCCTCGTTGGCCGAGTGGTTGCAAGTGCGACTGCCGGGCAAGGGGTCTCGGGTTCGATTCCCGGGTTGGGCAAAGTATTACCGGGTTTTTAAAAATTCTCAGTAGTAGCACGGAGTCTGGAATTGTGCCCGGTATATGGCAATAGGCTCACCCCCTATTACATGGGACTCACAACATAAATAGTGAAATATGGATGTTACATTGTACAGTGGCATAATGTTCACCTCTGCCTACCCCTTCGGGGATAAAAGGCGTGTTGTTGTTATGTTATCAAGCGATATTTCAAATCACCTAATACTCTTTTTGAAACCAAATATAAATCTAATATTTGTACTACATCTATTAGATAACATTGGTTATAAAATAATGTCAGCTCCTCCTATTCTATATAATCTTACTCAACACCGTCAATGTCCTATAGTGATCCGTATGAGCGAGGCTCACGCCCGAATGCACCTGCGTCCGCAAGTATCGGAGGAGGACGTCAACATGGCCATTCGTACAATGCTGGAGAGCTTCGTCGAGACACAGAAATACAGCGTCATGAGGGCTATGAGACAGGTATACTATTACTTTACTGTTGGAACTTGCCATATTTTTTATTTGCCACTAGCTTTAACCCTCGGCTTCGCTCGCGTCACAAAAGGATAAAAAGTAGCCTATGTGACATAAACCAATACACACAGCGCCATCTATACCAATACTTTTGTTTTCCCTCGGGAATGTCACATTTTTCCGGGATAAAAAGTACCCTATTATTTAATCCGGACTTCTAACTTTACGTCTGCAAAAATTCAAAGCAATCGGTTTAGTAGTTCGGCGTGAAAGCGGAACAAACTAACTCACTTTGAGATTTATAATATTAGTAAGGATTTTGTAAATACTCGACATTGGTTACAACTTACAACAATTCCCCTTTAACAATAAGCTATACATACATATTAACAATCCTTTTGACTACTCCAAGTCACATCAGTTATGCTTTTATAATGACTATCGTGCGACATACTAAATTACTCGTGGGTTACTCACGTGAATATACTGAGAAAAGCTCTATTAGTTTCGAACTACAGAGGGATTCTTCCTCATAGTAGCGTGCGCGGTCGCGGCGGTGTCGCGCTGCTTATGTAGGCTGCGGTTCGAAACTAGTAGAGCTTTTCTCAGTATATTCATACATCAGTTATGTTAAAGTCTCTTGTAATGATGTATATCTTTATCTTATCCATAATTTTCGAAAACTGATATATGTAATTGTTATTCGATTTAATCCGGTAATCGAACCCAAAACCCTTGCTTGCATAGTTGCACTCTCGATAAACAAAGCAGTCAGTTTTTTTTCTATTATAAGGTAGTTTTAACTACTTTCTACACTTATCTAAACAAAACCTCTTTACTTACAGACATTCCAAAAATACCTATCATACAAGAAGGACCACAGCGAGCTCCTCTACTACATACTACGCCAACTAACAATGGACCAGCTAGCCTACATGAGAGGATTACACAATCATTCCCAGTCCACTATTGAAATTTCGGAGAGAGATCTTCTAGAAAGAGCCAGGCAGATCAACATCAGTGATTTGAAACCCTTCTATGACAGCAGGATCTTCAAAATGAACAGTTTTACTTACGATGCTAAGAGGAAGGTTATTGTTCACATCTTACCTGATACACCGTCTAGTGCCGCTTCGTAGGTTTTCAAGGGGTATAGGTTGGCCTTTCGTATGCTTTAAAGGGCAGTTTTACCATGGTTTGGTTCATTATAATACATTTTTGTGTGGATCTCGATTATAATGGGATTTGTCTAAAAGTTGCTAAAAGCACTTCAGTGATATAATTAGATTTCGCTCTGTAATGGATATCTCCATCCATTTTAGTGTTGTGGCACGCCACAGAAAAGGTAAGGTATGTCTATTACCTCTGTAAGCTACGATGACGGCATGCGAAAGGTTAAATCTAATGATTAAAAAGAAACCAGTGTTCAGATGCTATAAATATATCTGAATAAACTTAATCCTCATGTGAATCATTATCGGATTTGTGTGATAGATACTTTGTGGATTGGCAAATGTATGTGTCTTTATGAATCTCACACTTTTTCCCGCTAAAATATCTATCGCTGGTTTAGTTTTTGGCCCGACTTAACTCCTAATATGAAATACAATACAATTTGTTATTCTATGGTCAAACTTAACAGCCAGGTATTATATTTATGTTAGTATTTTGAGGAAATCGCCAACCCGCATTAACGCTTTGAGTACCGTCATTATAGACACAATTAAAGAACAATAGGTGCGGTCACCGGTGTCCTCGCGGTGTTTGACAGTTTAAGCAAGCATGGTGATTAATGCTCAAATCTTCGCCGTGTTACCCGAGGCCTTTGGTCAGCAGTGGCCACTTGTAGGCTGTTGATGATGATGATTTTGAATTTATTTTGGTTCATTTCCTTTATAGTTATAGCATTAGCTATGCTAAATATAAAGGTAAATAAAAAATCACAATTCTTACGAATCGAGGACCGCTACCTCCAATCCACAGAGTATCATAATCACAATATTCACCCACCCACCTTTAAAATATCACTACAATAAAAGCTTTAAAAATAACAATCATTTTCTTTAGTTATTATTATTATAATTGTATGTGTAATTAATTTTAAGTTTTTATCTCTTAACTTTTTCTATTATGTTTGTCTATTTTTATTATTTTTTGGTTACTCGAGTAAAATACTATGTATAATGAATTCGTCGTATCGACGAATCTCAGTTATGGCTTCTTTTATACTGATTTCAAATCCATTCAAGTAGGTAATCTTTTAGTAGTATGTATTGGGTAAAAAAAAACTGTATAGCTTTTCTTGCCGATTTTCAAAGTAACAAAATGAAAACTGGTAGTGTTCAAATGTCAGTCCCATCTAATATAAAAAGAGCCGGCACCTATGTAATGTTTCAACCAAGTTTATCGAAATACATGGTACCACCCACACGCACGAAGCGCTTCCCATCAAGCTTCCTTATGCGTACGGCTAAGGAGTGGAATTCTTTGCTAGAGCCTGTATTTCCTGAAGGGTATTATAACCTGGGTGTCTTCAAGGCCCGCGTGAATAGGTTGCTTATGGGAAGATGTGCTTCATCGTAAAACGCATCATCGCTTACCACCAGGCAAGATAGTGGTCAAACGTCGGCCCATCAAATATTTAAAAAAAAGAAGGGTATTCTTTATACCAACAATCAAAAGCAGTCTACTCATAATTTCAAATCAAAGAAAAAAGAATTAAATTCTACACTTAACATTTACTAATTTACCTTTTATCAAGTTACACGTGAGCGTAAAGATCCAATGTACCGCTCTAAAATAATACACGATCGAACCTCTTCGAAATAGAAACTCCAACCCTTGTGAACTAGGTCATCTAAACTCGTACAGTATTGTCGTCTAGATTCTGGGCTACCTAAAATTATCTACTAACATATCAAGTTAGAAATAGGACAGATTAGGTACATCGAACGGCTGTCTTGACTGCAACTTCGAAGAAAAATCGTTTTGATGATTAATTTTTCAAAAGATACTTCATCTTTAGTAATGTAGGTACACTTAATTAATTACTTTTCAGTTTGTTGTGAATTATGCAGAGAATCTTAGTTTAAAATTACTAGTGTAAGATTTATATGCAAGCCAAGTACCTAGTCGCGGAGAACCTAACGGGTAACCGGGGCTCCGGCTCGACGTGCAGGAGAAGGAACGGGGTGGTTTTTAGTCAGTAAGAGTCTCGACACTCCCTTCCGCCTCACCCAGGCGGGAGCAGGCATTTGATGATTTTCCCCCCTTAAAAAAAAAGCCATGTACCTACCTACATGCAGCTAAAAAACTACAACTACTTTTTACAAACATATGTATGAAATTGATGTATCCCTAAAGAAAAGGGTAAAACATATTGCAAACGTAATCATCACCTATAATAATGTATAAGTGCCTTTTGTTAGTACAAACTCGAAATTTGACCTATTTTAAGTTGTTAATTGTAATGTTTTTTGATAAATCAAAGTTTTCAATTTGTGATTTTGAAATAAACAGATTATTGTAACCAAAATATCTTTTTACTCTATTTTCCAATTGATATAGATCCTAGAAAATACTATCCGAAATTCTGTATCAAACTAGCACCGCCGCTGTGGACCTTGTGGATAGAAGCTTTGATTTTTGAGCAGCTAAATCATGTAAAATGTTAAAAATTCAGACTACAATATTATATACCCGTCATTACTAAATAGTGACAAAAACAAAGGGTAAAATAAAAAGTATTTTCAATAAAAGACTTATTTATTCCCATTTAAATTATATTTCGTTTTATATCAAAATTCTTACATTCTTTCTATTTTAAATCATGAGACTATGTAATTGAAGAGACATTTTACTATACAGTCTTAGAAAATATTACGTCTATGACATGTATATAATGTAATTGATAATTTAATTTCTATGCTATTTTTAAATTAACACAGCAGTTTCACAAAGCATAAACAATAAAAATACTAAATCTCCACTAACAGCACTGACTTCAACAAATTATAGTTTAAAACCATAGAGTATTTATAAACTTTGGCTTAAAGTGTTTTAATAATGTAGTTAGTGGAAATAAAGTCCTACATTAAATTTATCAAATTCCTACAAATCTCAATAATTCATACATTCTCACATAAAATGACTTTTAGCATCTTATAAGAATCAATTTAGACTACAAACATTCAACAAGTTCACAGCATAATAACTAGGAAGAATGGCGCCAAACCCACTTAGCTCCTTTACTAACATCAAGTATTTTTTTTCAATTTCTATTTTATTCAAAACTACGAAATCTATTTGTAATCCGCTGTTGATTATATTATTATAAAAGGCTGAATGAGATAAGTGCCACTACTACACAAATAAAAAAATACATCATAAACTTTGTCTGCAGGTTAAAATTATCATAAAGTGTCATTTATAATTAAGTCCTTATTTTTAATGTCCAGCATTACATGACGAGCCAACCTGGTGATAGTCCAACATACATACAATCCTTATCCATAACTATTCCATAAAATAAGACTGGTATTAGCAATGTACTTATCAACTTATAGGATTACAAAACCACCCTCATATGAGACTGACAATAAATAAAAATAATGTCTAGTAAAATAATCAAATAAATTTGAATGTCACAAGAAAATGCAATATTTTGACTTAATTATTACTAACAAATTACATGTCATACAGTAAAATATAGTTGTCGCAGCGCAATTTCTGTGGGAACAATAAATTGCTAATACCAGGTGTTACCGACTTGTGAGTACCCGCTTAACCGTCAGATCCAGACTCTGATCCGCTGCTGCTCTCGCTATCACTCTCAGAGTCACTGCTGCTGCCGCTCTCAGAATCGTCGGAGCTATCTGACTCTGAACCAGAGGAGCTTCCTGACGAACTGTTGTCTGAGCAGTCAACACATTCGTTTGTGCGTTTCTTTTTGTTGGGTATCTTGCAACTGCCGCCGCTGTAAAAATAATCGCAATTGTAATTATGAAATCATTTACCCTAGGTACAACTACCCTACTACTAATGAAAAATGTTATGAAATTGGAAATTAGTTATTTATTGCACAGCAACATTAATTTACTCGGAAATTGAACTTTGAAAAGATAATTGCATTATACTACAAATACAAAATGAAAACGACCTTTAAGGGTAGTACACAAAACATTGTTCTGGAAAGAAATAAAATTTTGGAAGTGTAAAACTAATTGAACAAAACTACCTGCAGGACCCTTGTTCCTGTGACTTCAGATTCTTCTTTAGGACCTGTGTGCGCGATGGACGCACCAGGATCTTGCGCTTGCCTGTGCATTCATAGCTCCAATGGCCATATTCCAGACATTTCTGACAACGGATCCCTTGGGGAAACGCCGCCGCTAACGCAGCTTGCCTGTAAAAACAAACGATATTAATAACAAGCAAATGGCCAATCGCAAGTAGACAAAAGGAGGGAAGAAATTACTTTTTCTTGTTGGCCTGATGCCTATTGTAAGTGCCTAAAGTCATGGCGATGTTCAAGTTAGCAGCTCAACAATCAAAATGTAGGTAGAACAAAATCACTTCTCCACAAACTGTTTGGTGACTATCACTCGCTATTACTTCCAAAACACGAATGAATTATTAGAAAATCATAATTCACAGAAAAAGGAAGTAAAAATGCATGGAAAATAAAAGATTTGTCAACTTGTCGTTGTCAAACAACGCAGATTAAAAAAGGAGTTATTTTCTGTCTATGGTTTGATTAGAAAATACCTATGGAAAATACCAAAAGGTGAGCACTGAGTACCACATTATGATTTTTAAATTTTTTGAAAATCACATTTAAAACTAATCAGTTACACACAATTTTTTGATACAAAATATTTACATTCATTATTGGTCTTAATTTTTTAAGAACATACATTTTTTATGAAAAATAAAATGTATAGAAAAAATATTTTAACTGCATTGAATGCCTCTGAATCAGAACCATAATCAGAACGTATTACCCCATTAACGGCCGGTTAACACGAGCTTCGTAACTAAGCGCTTAGTACTTGTTACTAATACTAATGCTCTGTTCGCACTATGCTAGTATTTTAGTCGAACAGCGAGTGTTTTGTATATCCTATCCCTCTCACTTCTGTCCCAAAATCGATCGATCGATTAATCCTACACTTGGCTACGAAACCCGTGTAAGCCGGCCATAATGCAAACTAGGCAAGTGTTGAGGGCATCAGGGATAGAGTACAATAATACACTGGAAACATCAGATTATAGAGAATAGTCGCCAGAGACACGTGCCAAACTGCCCACAAAAAAGCAGCGGCGCCTAAAAAATTAGGGGCACCTCTGGGATGTGAGCTTAGTACAATTTATTTACGCACGCCAACTAGCTAAAGCACGCGGGCCACAGCTTTATTAAAATTTGTTCCAAAGGCCCTGGCCAACCTACAACGTAGTAACGTTGAGTTTGACTATTAAGATAAACTTAAAGTTGTATTTCTCATTTCTGAGTGGTTTAAACGTTACGGAACATTCATTGTGTACACTCATCTCATCGGTTGAACTAGAAACAAGTTTTTGAATGAGTCACTAACCAGAATCCTCAATAACAAAAAAGAAACCGTAAACTAATAACAAAACGTAAGCTGTCAAAATTGATAGAAATTACGTGGAGAATGTGTGCAGTCTGTGGTTAAAAGTTTTCAGTCAGTTGCGTATCGCAAGTAATATTAATTTAAGATTTCATAATAAAAATAAATAGCCGGTTTACAGGTTTGAAATGTACAAAAATAATTCACGTATAAAACAATGTCGGACTGGTATTGGCGGGTAATTGCTTTGAAGGCAGCATTTGCGTTAACTTTTATTTTTTGTAATGTACGTGCCGAGGATACTGTGCAGAAGTTACCGTACTGCAATCCTACTGTTGAAAAGGACGATACAAATCTAAACGAGTGAGTTTATTATGCTATTTTTCATTTAGCGTTTATATGCACTACAATTAAAAAACCAAAATTGTTATAGTAAAACTTCGATGAATTTTATTGGCTGGAAAAGTTTGTTTACAAAACATTTGCAGACTTGCAAGTGTTTTTGATAATAAAAACAGGTTTTTGTAAGAGTCTAATACGCAACGTATGTAACAGTATACATGAAAATTACTTTTATTTGCATTTTTAGTACTTTTTAGCTACTTTTGCAATTTCACTTGAACATGTCAGAACATGCTTGGGGGGGTTTTTTTAGAAAGAAAAGGCACCATGATGATAGATCCTCATCTATAATAAAAAAAACTCAAATTTTACTATGGAAAGAATTGTAAACATTGTATATAATAAAATCAATGTAAATCCATTTACTTTTAACCTTGATATCTTATCTCAATTACTTGCCAAATAACATATCTATGTAATTCTGACGTTTGTACTTATATTTACGTTTTTAAAAAACATGTTTCGTTTTATTTTCTGTATTTTGCATTAATAATAATTGCAATTTTGTAACATATACTGACTACTTTTAGAATGAATATGAAAATAAGTTTATTTATTATCTCTATGCTATATCTACTCGACCAATCTTATTGTAATTTTGTATGCAGACTATGGAGGAGGACATAGGTTAATTTTAGACAGACACTAGATACATACACACATAACCTTACACCTGTTTCCTAGGGGTTTTTTATTTTTTTTTTTTTTTAAGGGGGAAAATCATCGAATGACTGCTCCCGCCTGGGTGAGGCGGAAGGGAGTGTCAGACTCTTACTGACTAAAAACCACCCCGTTCCTTCTCCTGCACGTCGAGCCGGAGCCCCGGTTACCCGTTAGGTTCTCCGCGACTCCGAATCGGCATCGGCCCTATTGGGCCCCATCTGTGGTGGTCTGATGGCTCTTTGAGGCGCGCGCGGAACGCGACGCGCCGCACGCTCGGGTCTGTTTCTGGTCGGACGGGGAGCCACCCATGCTCGCCGTCCGCAGGCCCGCGCTTACGGTGGCCGGAGATCGTCCCGCGATCCCCGACGCCCGGTGTGTCCTTCGCGATGGCTGGGTTGCGAGGAGGTAGCGCTTCGCTGCCTCACGCGTCCCGCCTCCTCCTTAGCTAGCATGACTGCTTCGCAAAAGGAGGAGACGGCATCCCAGTCCCCCTCGCTCCGCATCATGGCCTGCACTAGGCCCGGACGCGAGAGGTCGCCATCGCCGATCACTTCCCTGAGGGCACGGCGGTGCTCAGCCCACGCAGGGCATTCTCCCACTGTGTGTTCCACCGTGTCCTCAGGGCGGTCCTCGCAGTGATGACACCCGGGCGTTTCCTCCCGCCCCATCAGACACAGGTACCTCCCGAAACTTCCATGTCCGGTGAGGACCTGCGTCAGGCGGTAGGTGAGGACGCCGTAGCGTCTCTCAAGCCACTCCTCAAAGAGGGGACTTACCGCTGCAATGGCAGCGAGCCCAGTTTCCTAGGGGTAGGCAGTGTCTATGCTATGAATCTTACGATCTATATACCTTACATATCTTTCGCTTTCATTTACAGAACTCTGAATAAAACCTAGTTTCTTAATGCATTTAAAAAGTAGTTTTATGTACTAATTGATAGTATCTAATCTTGATTATAATGTTTTATAATAGATATTAAAGTTCATTTTTCTTTGCAGCCTGGTGATTGTAAGCACACTTGATGGAAGATTGACAGCATTCTCCACTCAAAATGGCATAAAAGCATGGGATCTTGAGACACAACCTTTATTATCTTCCAATTTACATCATGTTGAGGTAATTTGATTCTAATTTGTATAATAATTAACTTCTTATTGGTATAGCTTGTTTATTGGTATGATAATTAGAAAATATAACATTTCACCTTTTACTTCATACACTGTGCGATTTACACATAGTTACAATCAGGCAATGCATAACCAAATGAAGTCGTAGTTCTCATACATGAGGATGAGGGTTAAAACCTATCAAGGGCAGGTACCAATGCGACTTTTCCGAGTTATATGTTCTTTCTAAGATTATTTAAATACCAATGACAAATGGTGAAGTACTATAAAAGTGAGGAAGCCTATAATTTGTAATTGTAAGTTTGAAATCGCCAACCTGCATAGAGCAAGAGTGTCTATTAATGCTTAAATCTTCTCTGTGTATCAAGAGGCCTTTGGTCAGCTGTGACCACTTATAGGTTGTTGTTGTGATGTGATAACCAGTATAAACTGACCGTTGAATGTACAGAAATATCATACTAAACGAGACTACAATAAACTGGTGTTGTGTAGCGGTGTGTACAAAGTCAAAGTCAAAATCATTTTGTTTATACTAGCTAGGCAGAGATCGTAGATATCACCCTGTTAAAATATTTAATTTTATCTTTAATACATACATATATCGTTCCAAGAATTTGTTCATACAAAAGTAGTTTCTAAACATCGGAAATAAGGTCTATATTGGAGTTAGTGTACGGCAGTTACCGGTGACTGCTTGGGGATTGAACACTTAACATTAGTTATGTTAAGAGTGTAATTAGAGTGTGTTGCCATGTACCAGGATTCATTCCTAACTCCATTTTGTAATTAAGAATGTTTTAAAAATGAAATGTAACACAATTTAACATTATAGCTTATATATCGTGATTTAGCTAATAATGTTGAATCTGAAAAATGCACAGCATATTCTTATTTGACTTAAATTTAATGTCTATTTGGAAATTGGATTATAACTTTATCCTTATATGAAAAAATTTCCTTGATCGGTTTCATTCATACCTTTTGCATTAACATTTATTTCGAAGCATGAATCAGCAGGCGAATAAATTATACTGAACATAATAATGTAAGTTATGGTCTGATGACTGTTTAATAAACAAGCTTGTTATTCACTGTAGGGGTTGATATAAAGGCAGTTGTAAAATTATAAAATATTTTAATGTATGTTGTTAGATTTATCTTCATATTCAGTGTAGTTTTGATTTACAGCATCAATGGTGTAGATTTAACCCTAATTTTTTTATTACAATGGGCTTTACTTAAAAATATATTCTTTAATAGGTACAGAACTACCTATTTATTTCAAAATTTAATTCATTATTATAACTATTTAATTCAAAACCAGTCCTTATCACACATTTTTTTCATAACATCACTATTTTGTGCCGGCGTCTCTCAGACATATTAGCATATGTATGCTATGCTAGGCCTGACAAAAATTAATTCTAACCAGTTATGGGTTAAACCATCAGGCCACTCACACACTTTGTTTTTATCAATATTGTGGTGTAAATGAAACAATTATTGCTAGCTATATGAGTAATACAGCATGACCAAAAAAGTGAATAGCCATCCTATTTCTAAATGAAATTAACAATGTAACGTGCACAAAATAGGTTGAACGTAATTTATTTATTTGGATATCCAGTTGTTGCTACATATTTAACATTAACTTAAAATTAAGAATTAAAAATCTTACTACTAATGCACAACATTTTGAAAGACATCACAGCATGCGTTGAGTTGAGAACACTATATCAATTAAATTAAATTTAGGTACTTAAATTGTCTACATTAACCAAATTTGCAATAAATAAGAATTATATAATTGGTAACGACTTTTGTTATCACTCATTATACAATAGTCAATAGTCAATCCGTAATACAAAAATACAAATGCAAAACAAAAGATATATGAGTAATACAGCATGATAAAAAAAGTGAATAGCCATCCTATTTCTAAATGAAATTAACAATGTAACGTGCAATGGACATTTGGCATAGTTTAATTAGCATAACAATTTACAAAGTTACTAACCAATACGGAAATAATCAAGGATTATGCTAAATAACTATTATAATATGTGCCATTGTTTTAGATTGACCAAATTTACAATAGGGTAGTTGCCAGGGTAAAAAATTAAAAGTCTAATTAGTCCGTAAGTAAGATAATGAAATAATAATAGACACGTATTTTTTAATTTGCTCGTATAAAGTTACAATACTTAGATTAAATGTCGTTGAGTTTAGGAGTCGTCGGACGTCCTGAAGTGCTACAAAATATAGCGCATTGTGACGTCACACGATATTTCAAATTAATATATCGTCGAAAGTATTTATTTTTGTAAGAAAAGAAAAAATACGTATCTAATTTTTTAAATTAATCTACCAGACGGACATTAAAATTAAATTTAGGAAACTACCCAATAGGGTAGAAATACAGAATAGTGTAGCCCCCTTTGAGGAAAGACCAGGACAGAGATCTATGCATACAGTTTGACTTTCAACAAATATATAATACATAACATGATATCACGCGTTTTTATCCCCGAAGGGGTAGGCAGAAGTGCACATTACGGCACTTAATGCAATGTGCAATGTAACACCCACATTTCACCATTTATGTAATGAGCCATGTAATAGGGGGTGAGCTTATTGCTAATACCGGGCACTTGCTGACTCCGTGCTACTACTGAAATTTTTAAAAACCCAGTAATACTTTGCCCGACTCGGGAATCGAACCCGAGACCACTTGCCCGGCATTCGCACTTGCGACCACTCGGCCAATGTCGTATATTCAATACATTCACAACAAATATTCATCTAGTTGCGCTCGGTCTTTCTCGCTCTACTCGTTAGTGTGATGTTTTATAACCTACCGCCTTTTTATATAAATGGACTAACATGAGATTAGCGCGTTCAAAGAAACAAACACGGTTTGACTGCACGGTTGGCGCGGTGGCTGGGCAACTGGCTGCCGTGCAACGTGTCGCGGGTTCGATTCCCGCACGGAACAATTCTTTGTGTGATCCACAGACTGTTGTTTCGGGTCTGGGTGTCATATGTATGTGAACTTGTATGTTTATAAACGCTCCCATGACACAGGAGAAAATCCTAGTGTGGGGCAACGTTTTTTTAAATAAAAAAAAAAACAGTTCAGCTGTATATAATAGTAAATAAAATAAGATTTTTGATTCCCAGCTCACTTCAGGAGGCAAGTGGGTCCGTCTGGTACCGTCCCTCAGCGGGTCACTGTACAGCGTCAGTGGGGACAATATCGAGCCACTGCCCTTTGACGCTGAACAACTGCTGTCTTCATCGTTCAAGTACTCGGACGATTTGGTTATAGCTGGTGAGTTTCGATTATTTTTTTCATAAGAAATTTTGTTTGTATGCTGTATAACTCTTAACCCTTTGAGTGCCGTCACTATAGACACAATTAAAGAACAATAGGTGTGCGGACACCGGTGACCTCGCGGTGTTTCACAGTTTAATACTATTGAATGAAAATTTTTATGCCTATGATTTCGTGATCTGTTATCTGTGATTCGAGAACTAGATAATCAATAATTACTATCAAAATAACATACATTTTCACGCCTCTTATCCCTAAAGGGGTAGGCAGAGGTCACATTATGCCACTGTTCAATGTAACAGCCACTTTTCACTATTTATGTTATGAGTCCCATGTAATAGGAGGTGAGCCTATTGCTATATTCCGGGCACAACTCCAGACTTCGTGCTAGTTCTGATATTTTTTTAAAACCCAGTAATACTTTACCGACCCGGGAATCGAACCCGAGACCCCTTGCCCGGCACTCTGCCAACGAGGCAGTCTATCAGCAGAGCAGAGCAGTACTATCAAAATATCGTCTCGAAATTGCTTATGCAAATTGCGATATGAAAAAAAAACTACTACTATAGATCTATTCAAATTTTGGACATGATCCCAAAAAAAGTCCGTTATTGTTCGTCTCGCTCGAGTTCATATACGTCTTACTACGATTACTATAATATTTATATTATTGTATAATACTAACCTACCACACACATAATCTAATATGCTTATTAACACGTGCCTTGAAGAAACAAATCAACAGGATCCAAAAATGTTTTGTTTGTACTCGTTTATCACTATTTATAATCCATATTACACACTATTATCAGCATTGAGTCATCAGCGCTCCGTAAACATTTGGTTTAGTCTGTAAAAAACTAAACTTCGTCTGTATGATGTGTCTATCTGAATGTTTAAATAAATACTGCATAACTGTGATGTGTAACGGTTGGTGCGGTGGCTGGGCAACCGGCTGCCATGCTACGTGTCGCGGGTTCGATTCCCGCACGGAACAACACTTTGTGTGATCCACAAATTGTTGTTTCGAGTCTGGGTGTCATGTGTATGTGAACTTGTATGTTTGTAAACGCACCCACGACACAGGAGATAATGCTAGTGTGGGGCAACGTTTTTTTATACATTTTATACATACATACATAATATAGGCTACGTTTCCTTTAACCTTGTGTGCGAAATCACATGTGGGATGATAGTATCATAATATCATAATGACAACAAAGTGCATAACCAGTTTCATTAACTCATAAACCAAAAAAACCCCTGCTAAACAAGTCTACACCTATAATTTCCAAAATTACTACCCGTGGCAAGATTGTATAGGCATATATTTTAAAAAAAGTTGTGAGGAAATCCCCTATAAAGCACTAAAGTAACCTTTACATTAAAAGGGAGTTAAGCGATCAAAGAAGTATGACCCCAATGACTTATAGTTTTAAGGTCCAGAATCAACTAATTCGGCGATAAAAATTCAATTAAGTGCTACCCTGATTGGCCTTGGAAGTCTGCATTGCCAGCAGAGGGCGTACTTGTCGAATTAAGTGGGGATTTGTGACATAATCCTATTAGTAAATAGCCCGCATCATTTACTGTTACAAAGAACCGGGCATTGATAGATTTATTGTTATGTAGTCATAGACGTTAGCCGGTAAATA